CATTGTTTCATTTGAAAACTCTAGTCACGCTAGTGCTTTTGATTATTTTATAATCTCTTGCGAGAGGAAACCTCTCTCTTTACATATATGTATATATATGTATGATAATCTGTATAATAATTAACGACTTTACTCGAAAAACCATCGCGTCCTATATGCCACGCGTAATGTATCAGCAATTTCACAATTATTTATTATTTTCTTGATAAAAACTACATATAAAAAAAGAAATATAAGTACATATAGTAACAAAATTCGATAAAACTAAGTTGAATCATAGTAAATGATGATGCACATGAACAAACAATATTTGCGAAAAAAATATGTAATAGCATTTTTTAGATTTCCTTCTCATCGTAATGCAGATTATTGCTCATGGAAATGTATTAATTAAGAAGAGTCCTATAACTTTTATTGTGACTTTTGTAAGAGAAAAGATGAATAAAGTGTGTTTGTAATACAGAAAATTTTTAATTTAAGAGTAAATGCAAAAATTAATAGATTATGCATTTAAGAGGAATAATTCAAAATTGCACATGCACACAAAATATGTACAAGCAACAATGAATATCTATGAAATCTATATAGGTTTGAACATAATTTCTAGTAATAGATACAAAATGTAAGAAGGGAAGAAAATATATCGTTTAAAAAAATTGTTCTTTATGAACATTTCTATAATAAATTCCTTTATGATCTTGAGAAAAAATTATACATTATATAAGCTTTCTAAAATTATACAAATTATAATTATAATGTCTTTTTCATATCTTTCAGTCTAGAAGTGTTTCTTTTATATATATATATATAAATGTATGTATACATTTGTGTGTGTGTGTGTATATATAACATTTTGATGTAAACCCTATTATATATATATATATATATATATATATATATATATATATATATATATAAACATAATTAAAAAATAAATTAAGAATCTAATTGGCTGTAAAAGAGTGCTATAGCAGGGTCTTCGGATTCGGAAGTCATTAAGACATCTCGAAATTTATCAAGAAGTTGTAACAACTGGGATCTACGAATGTTTTCTAAATACATAATCTCCTCCAAGTGATAACCACCATTTAAATATCCAAGACGACATAGTCTGTCGAGTAGTTTCCTATCGTCGGAAGGAATATCGTAATCCTCTGATTGATAATCATATAATGCATCCTCCTTACTTGCGAGTGACAATTCTTTTTTTATTTCAGTAGGCGTTCCCTTTGGCGTATCGTTCAAACTCCATGTACTTCCGCTTTTTTCTATCACGTCTGTGTCGCATGTTTCTTGATCTTTTGTATCCTAATAATAAGGCATAAATAAAAATTTAGAAAAAACTTGTCAAGATGTGCATGATAAATAAGATGGAATTGCCCATCCTCAATAATGCTATATTCTGTTGCAGAAATTATGAAATTAATTTTGCTATTTCAATGAATCATTTTACCAGCAAAATTAGAAATATCGATTATAATCAAGCAAATATATTTCATATATATTTAGCATATTGCAATAAAAAAAAAAAAAAAAAAAAAAGTTATAATAAGATATATAACTTACTAATGATGATATCATTGGTATATACCGCACGTATGTATGTAATTGTAGGAGCAAATGATTCTTTAATAGCCATATAATTATCTTTACTAATTGTGTTTGTTGATGTGGTTGGCTTAAAGGATTTAACTTTTGGCTAATAGAAGTTGGTAAGGAGAAATCACTGATGACCTAAAACATATATTATTATTAGTTTTTAATAATTAAGTTTAAAATTAAAGATGAATTAGAGAGTTAAAAATATTTGAACTGAGATTAAATAATTGTACAATGAAATTTTGGAAGTTTGAAATAAATATATAATAGATTCCATAAGAATAAAATAAGAATTATATAGCATATTTATATATACTTGAAGTAAACAAACTCCTGGGAAATGTTCGGAGAAAGAGTCTAATAACTGATTAGACAAAATGGCATCAGAAGAGATAACATAGATGTTGCTTTCACAAAGTGGGTAAATTATCGTAGCCTTTGCCCAGTAAACTAAATGGCCAGTTAACTGGAATACTTGTGCGAGTGTCAGATCCGAATTTGCTGCTAAAGTTTGTAAACTTTTCAATGGATTGTACATTTGAATCAAACGTTTAAGTGCCGGAGAGCAATCTACTTGCAAAGATTCTAACAACTCTAAAGGCTCTGTTAATAAAAGTATGCCATGATAAGGTCTTAAACTATTCAAACATCTGAAAAAATACAATATTAAATGTTTAAAATTGCATATACACATTCCTCTTTCAAGGTATATTTTTTGATAATATTGTTATATGTATAATAGAATCAAATAATTATTAAACTTATCTTTTAAACAGTCTAAAAAAAATATCAGTAAGTACATATTCTTGGTAATTTTTTTTATATGCAATAAGATTAAATCTTTTACTTTATCTCTCTTTGTCTCTTCATGTGTAAAGATAATGCTAAGGAATATATCGAAATCATTAGTGGCAATAAATTTCTATCACAGAAAAACGATAATATTCAAAATATTTTCTTTCTTTTTCTCTTTCTGTTTATTTTCTGCTATTTTATTTAGATCAAACTTTTTATTCTATTATAACTTATAATATAAGTTAATATTCTTTCATCTGGTTGCATATAAAAATATTTGTAGCACACATTATGTAACAAACCTATCTATAATCTCAGGATCAATGAGTAGGCCTTTCTTATGTGACTGGTGAACTTTCTGAGGAAGACAGAAGCGCACTTGAATCCACTTGTTAATCATGATACTGACAATGCCAGAAGTGCTGAGATTACTAAAGACAGATTTTAAACCACGCGCCAATGAGCTTCTTTGAAGAATTAATTCATATGGTGATTCATCACAATCACTTTCACCCTCGGATCTAGACATACACATACATATATATAACAATATATTATACAACAATGTTATTATAGCAAAAAATTAAGAATAATTGTATATACCTTCCAGCAATTTCATCGTGCGTAGACACCATTATTTTTATTTCATCCGTTAAAAAGCCACATCTTCTTTCTTCATGTCTCAATGCTATACCTAATCTAAGAACGTCAAAATATAAGTTCTGCATATTGTAAACATATTTGCATATATGTAGAAATTACATTACCTTTTGCTTAGATCATAATAACATCTTACTATCGAATGACTTGCTTGCGCTTGTAGTGCAAAGACAATATTGAAAAGCATAGAAGAATTAACTTCCTTCAAACCACGAGATAGAACTAAAGTCGGATGTCCAACAAAGCGAACATCATTAACTTTTAATTCAAATTTCTGTTCACATAATTCTGGTTTTACAGCAAATAAAATAGATAGAACTTCGTCCGTTACACCAGTTAGATTTCCATTATTGATGTTTGATGTAAGAAACGGCAAAGACTGTAGAATAAAATAGAATGTTGACAAATTATTTAAAAAAATTATATGTATCGTAAAAATACAATTATATGTTATAAATAATGGAACATACTTGCAACAAATCTTCTGTATTTGTTAGCGAATAAGGGTTCTTTCGTCTAGTGCATTGACTCGAATCTCTCACATGATTAGTCATATGTGGATATCGAAATAACAATCTATCACCTTTACTGTCGCTTTTTACCAAATTTATACTTAATGGATGGATACCCATGGTTTACATTCAACAGTAGAAATGCAATTAAATTAAATTAGATTCAAAAACACTTTCATTGCTAGACTTACATTTCAATTGTAAGTGTATAGTAAGAATTTACTACAAAAATCTTGTTCCGTAATAAATTAAATTGTTTATTTTAATGAAAAATATGACATAATAGTACGAAATCTTCCGGACACTAATTCATAAGATAAGTTTATTCTTTTCAGCTGTACCGGCTGCACAAGTTACAAGTTTCGACCGGGATCATAATATAATTATAATATGTTACGTCCTTTGATTATATTATATAGTTTGATTCTAAATAAATTGTAAAATAGTAAAATTTACATAAATGTATTTTGAGAATAAAAGAAAGTGCAGTCTTCAGGTTAGAAAACTGCACTTAATGTGTGTAGCAGAAAGCTTATTAGATAGTAAACTCGGTGGTAGTAAACTTACTGCCAACGCGAGTTCTGATTGGCTTCTGCTTTTATCGTTGTAGAGGAATTAGAATATTTCCTATTATTTTATATTATATGTATATTTTATATTATATATTATTTATTCGCTGATTGGTTAATGTCATTTTGAAAAAAATAACTAATTCCCAATTGTTTCCAATTCCCAAATTATAATATAAAATATATAATATAAAATAATACATAATATAAAATTTATAATATAAAATAATATATCATATATAAATATAAAATATAATATAAAATATAATATAAAATTTATAAATAAAATATATAATAAAATAATATATATATAAAATATATAATATAAAATATATAATATAAAATATATAATATAAAATAATATATAATATAAAATATATAATATAAAAAATTTTGTCTAAAAATTTGGTAACTTCCTCGCTCAATAGTCTCTAGGAACATATATATATATATAAATGCTAGGAACTTTTTCTCGTTTCCCTGCAACATATACTTGTGCTTCGCGTTATATTCTCGCGGTTCCCGCGAAGATTCGTATAACCTCTCTTCTTGATCTTTTGCGATCGTTTTACGTCCTTATCAGAAACATCGACGTGTTTTTCCGCATCGTACATAGTTTCGACGATTGTCAGCGACTATCACGTCATTGGAACGTGTCCCTTACAGAATGACAAAATCGTCAGTGAACCAAGTAATTCATCGATGCTCCGACCCTGACAATTAACGGATCTGCGAGAGGGTAGCTTGACAGCTCGCTCTTATCAGCAATATATACCGAGTGATTCATCATTTTGTGGATTCACGCGACGCAGACTTGAGATTTATGCGAGAGAGAGAGAGAGAGAGAGAGAGAGAGTTGCAAATTATATATATATATATATATATATATATATATATAGATATAAATAAATTATTATTCGATAACAAATATCTCGCACATTATTAAGTTAGGAAGAGAGATAAGAGACATTTGCAAAAAAAAGATAAATGTTACATGATTCGCGAGTCTACATTAGCATCAAGTAATAATCTCGCGTAGTATTTACTGTTTATTGTTGACACTTTTTAAACAGCAATTTACCAAATGTCAAATCCAAAGAACAAGTTCAATTTGACACTACCTGGTTCGATAGAACAGATACCAGCATCACCATCATCACCGGTCCCACCTTTACCCACCTACTCGGAACCTCCAGTGATACCAGAGTAAGTTGACGACGAAGGCTTAATCATGTCCAGTGCAACTACTAATTGAGAAACTAATATCGATGTAATTTAATGTTCAAGATTTAATTATTCAAGGAAATTTAAGTTTAAATTTAGAATATTGCTGCCATTATAGGATACTTTTAATTGAGAGTCTTGAGTTTTAGTCTTTATATATAAAGTTTTTTTTCCTTTAATTTTCTTTACTATGTGTTATGAAATAATCATACAAAATTTTTCATTATAGACATAATTTAAAAATTATTTGCAGTGGTGTAATAAGTGGCATAGAGACTATTCAAGAGAGATTAGAGGAATTAGAAATGGATGAGGAGCAGAGAAAACGACTAAAGAGCTTTCTAGGACAGAAAGAAAAAGTTGGAGAATTATGCGATGAGGATTTTGAGAAGCTAGGTGAACTGGGTGCTGGTAATGGTGGTGTTGTTATGAAAGTCAGGCATAAAAAGTACGATCTTATAATGGCAAGGAAGGTAAATAATTTAAGTCGTATATTTTCAAATTCTTAAATACTTACAAAATATTTGTTAGAGACAGAAGATGCATTTTTTATCCATGATTTATTTTTATCGCAGTTAATACATTTGGAAGTAAAGCCAGCTATTAAGAAACAAATAATCAGAGAATTAAAAGTACTTCATGAATGTAATTTTGCACATATAGTTGGATTTTATGGTGCTTTTTACAGGTAATTTCTTAAAAACTACTTTTGAAACATACATAAATTATTAAAATTATATACATAAAATATTTGTGATGAGAGTTGAATGATACACACACACACATATATATATATATATATTTCAGTGATGGAGAAATTAGTATATGTATGGAATATATGGATGGTGGATCATTAGACTTAATATTGAAAAAAGCAGGACGAATTCCAGAACCTATTTTAGGTACAATCACATCTGCTGTAAGTCAACTTTTTATTACTAATACAGTTATAGAGAAAAGAAGGAATAGAATTTTACAGTTTTATTAAATATGATAACAGTATATACAGAATGTCCCATAGAAAATTGCTGAAACTAATCAGCTCTTACAGCTGATAAGTGGTATACAAACATTTTATTTATATCCATTAAAAGTTGCAGACTTTCCTGTTTCCCCAACACAATTTTTGTTTTTTCAATAACTGTATGCATTCAAAAATGACAGCTGATTAGTTTCAATAATTTCCTATGGAACACCCTGCATATATATTTTTAATACTAATAATATAATCTAATAACAACTATTTTTCTAATTAAACATAATAAGATAAAACATGAGATACACATAGATATTGTGCACATGTGATAGATTTTTAACAAATGAGTATGTTAATTACGTATTGAAAATATGTAGCTACTTTTTTTCTATGAAATTATAACAGTAAAAGAACATTTTAATAATACGTTTCTCTTTCCATAATTCCACCTGGGAAGAGACGGATACATAATCGTCTAAATTCATCATAAATCCAAAGAAATGCACCTAGTAGTAAACAAGGCCAATACCAATAAGTTTTTAGTGGCATTGTGTGCAAAACGTACTCTGTGCCTGGAATGTAGAGTAACATCCCTGTTAGAATAACTTCGAAAACGAAAGAGAAATTGACAAACCAGTTGTCCATTCCTTGTTGGAAGATGGAGTTGCGTCTGGTCTTGCACATCACTAAATCTATCATTTGTGTTATAACGATGGAGAGAAAGTATCCACTTTGCGCTTCCATCAATAAATTCATCCTATTCTCGTAAGTCCAGGTTTGACCCCAGGAATCCTGTAGATCGTTGATAGACGGATTCTCCCATTCTATTCGTAAACCTAAAAGACGATCGGGCATAAAGCCGTTCATCATAAGCACCATGAAGTACGTATAGAATCCAGCAAAGGACTGCGTCATTCCAATTTGGCCATAAGTAATGGATATCAAACGCTTGTTCACCAACTTGTCGTACTGAGGGTTTCTCGGTGCACGGCGCATTATGTCGGATTCGGCTCTCTCGTACGCCAGAGCAATCGCAGGAACCACATCCGTGCCGACGTCTATGCAGATGACCAGTTCGATGACCAGCGGTAAGGGAATCGCGAGTATCAGGCCGCTCAGCATCGGCAACATTTCTGGTACGCTTGACGTTAAAGTGTACGCGATTGATTTCTTTAGATTATCGAAGATCAGGCGGCCTTCCTCGACGCCAGTCACGATCGACGCGAAATTGTCGTCCATGAGTATCATATCTGCGGCATTCTTGGCGACGTCGGAACCGGCGATACCCATCGCCACTCCTATATCAGCTTTTCGCAACGCCGGAGAGTCGTTAACACCATCGCCGGTGACCGCTACGATCTCTCCCAACCGTTGGCAGCTCTCCACGATCAGGAGTTTCTGCTGCGGCGACGTCCTCGCAAACACGATCTCCTCGTAATGGCGTATTACGTTATCCAACTCGGTCATATCCATATTCCTCAATTCGGCACCGGTGACGATGGTCGCGCAGGTGTCCACCAAATCGCTCACTTGCGAGTAAGATTTGTTCTGCAGGATCGCCCGCTCGTAACGGGTTTCGTGACCCTCGCTTATGATACCCACCTTCTTGGCGATCGCCATTGCCGTCACCGGATGATCGCCCGTTATCATGATCACTTTGATCCCGGCGGTGCGACACTTCTGCACTGCCTCGGGTACGCCAGGCCTCGGTGGATCCTGCAAGCTTATCAGCCCCACGAATCTATATCCCTTAGTGGGAAAATTATAGAAATCGGTATTGAACTTGTAGGTCGGCCCGTATACATCGGCCGGCAGATGCGTATCGCAATACGCGAGTACGCGTTCACCAAGATAGCCCAGCTCCATGCAGGCTCTGCGAGATATAGAATGATCGTGGTAGGTCATCTCTTTGGTCTCCCCATCTGCCGTCAGGATTGTCGTGCAATTTTCCAGTATCACTTCCGGCGCACCCTTCAGTATCATCGTGTAGCCGTCGACGTCCCGGTGTATCGACATCTGATACTTGGTCATGGAACTGAATGGGATCTCGGCCACCTTCGGATGGGTCTCGCGGAACCGTTGCGTGGGATGTATATGCTCGCAAAACTTGAGGATACCAGTCTCGGATGCGTCGCCGATGATCTCGCGTTCCTCGATGGGCGCCAATCTGTAGGACTCGGCGGTGAACTCGGCACGCAGACAGAGAGTTGAGGCTTTCAACATGACGCCGAAGGCCGGCTTCTCCAGCAACAGGTCTCTCTCGACGCCGATTCTCTCACCCGGTGGAAAGTTGTACCTGGTGTGACCGAACCACAGATTGGACACGGACATCTTGTTCTGGGTGAGAGTGCCGGTCTTATCGGAACAGATCGCCGACGTCGAGCCCAGAGTCTCGACCGCCTCCAAATTCTTTACCAGGCAGTTCTTACTCGCCATTTTCTGTGCCGTCAGCGTTAAAACCGTCGTCACGGTCACCAGCAACACTTCAGGCACATTGGCGATGATTATCCCGAGCAGATAGGTGAATGCTCGCACAATATTCGACTCCAGCATCAGTGACAGGGAGAAGAAGGCCAGGCCACAGAGAACCGCCACGATCGTGATGATCTCGACGAAGTGTCTGATCTCCTTGGCGATCGGCGTCTCGATCTTGGCGAGGTGCGACGTGAGTCCGGCTAATCGGCCTATCATCGTGTTATCACCCGTGGCGATTACGAGTCCCTTGCCGTCACCGGCCACGGCGAATGATGTGGAGAAGGCGACGTTCGCGGACTCGAGGGGATTCTTGTCAGTGGGATAATCCGTCCTGGTCACCGGCTCGCTCTCCCCAGTGATGCTCGAGTTCTCGACCCTCAGTCCGCGGCACTCGATTATCCTGATGTCGGCCGGTATTTTGTCGCCCATCCGTATTTCCACCAGGTCACCCAAAACCAGCTCCTCCGTGCCCAGACGCAATTTCACGCCGTCGCGTATCACCGTGGCGAAAGTGGGCACCATCTTCTTAAAGGATTCCATCACCTTGATATTTTTGCTTTCTTGTATATACGCGAATACTCCTGAAGTGATGCATATCGAGACGATGATGATCCCTAGCCACACGATTCCAACATCGGGCTCTCGCATTAAATAAGTGACAACGTACAGGACGAAGCATAGGATCGCGCAGACCCAGAGCAACGCGGCGAATCCATGGAACATGCACTTTAAGAATTTGATGTATTCCGGCGTGACCTTGGGCGGTGATAAAGCGTTCGGTCCGTCTCGTGCGAAAATTTTGCTCGCCTCTTCCGTCGTCAAACCCGTTTCCGGGTTTGTGTTTAGTTTCTTGCATAGAATCTTCAAAGCTATCACATGATCAATGGTCTCTAACTCCTGATGTAGCTCTTGTATTTCCTGCTCGGTCAGTTTCTTCTTATGTAGATGTATGGAGGACATCCGACTCGGTTGATGCAGTATAGAGGATATGCGGCTCGGTTGCGGCGTCTTCGAAGTGCTCGCCTGCATTTTTGCAACGAGATACAAGATATTGGGAAAGATACAACTTCAACGCATATAATACATATACGCTCCTCGTTTTTTTTTGTTCAATAACGATTTGAAACCATCGTCTCACTGCCAACTTGTTGAGTTGTACTTGTTTCTTCATTCATGTTTCAGACAATAATAGGTTTATTCTTTTCAGCTGAACTGGTTGTACAGGGTGTCCCATAGGAAATTGCTGAAACTAATCAGCTGTCATTTTGTAATACAAGCAGTTATTGAGAAAACAAAAATTGTGTTGAAAAGTCTGCAGTTTTTAATGAATATAAATAAAATGGTTGTATACCAATTTATTTTATTGATAAAAAGTAATGAAAAAAGTGTCAATAATCACATAAAATCAACAATTTATTTATATCCATTAAAAATGTAGACTTTCCTTTTTTCAACGCAATTTTTGTTTGCTCAATAACTGCATGCATTAAAAAACGACAGCTGATTAGTTTCAGCTATTTCCTATGGAACACCCTGTACTAGGTCAGAGTTTATCTTTTTACTCTGCATTGGAAAAAAAAATAATGCGAGCTATTCTTTTTTACAGGTTTTGAAAGGCTTGAATTACTTGCGAGACAAACATGCCATAATGCACCGCGATGTAAAACCAAGTAATATCTTAGTTAATAGTGCGGGCGAGATCAAAATCTGTGACTTTGGCGTTTCCGGTCAACTGATCGATTCGATGGCCAATTCATTTGTCGGGACACGAAGCTATATGTCGGTAAGCTGTCGAATAATTGTAGCTATTCTATCATATGGACTCAAGTAGTAAACGTCAAAATGACATACAAAATATCCGGATTAATGTATTGTATATTTTTTACAGCCGGAGAGACTCCAAGGGACGCATTACTCTGTACAGAGCGACGTTTGGTCACTCGGACTGTCGCTCGTGGAAATGGCGATCGGGATGTATCCGATTCCACCGCCAGACGAGAAGACTCTAGCTTCGATATTTGGTCCCCCATCGGCACAATCGCCTGCGGAGAATCCGGTGACGAATAATGTACCTACCCCGACTACGCAATCGCCAGGACACAGTCAGTATTTACTCGCGAAATGCCAAATAATACAATAAATAAATAAATGTTAATATCGTTGATTCTCCATCTTGTAGGCGCGAGCAGTCCAAGACCCATGGCAGTATTCGAGTTGTTGGAGTACATAGTGAACGAGCCGCCGCCGAAACTGCCGTCTGGAATATTTAGCGACGCCTTTACGGATTTCGTCGATCGGTGCTTAAAGAAAAACCCAGCCGAAAGAGCAGATCTAAAGACGTTAATGGTACATTTTTCATTATATATATATATAGTAAAAGTAAATATTGATAAAAAGAAAACTGATAGCTTGATGGAGAGAGATTACATTTCACGAATTTATACATTCCAGAGTCACGAATGGATAAAAAAGGCTGAATCAGAAAAGGTAGACTTTGCTGGATGGGTGTGTCGTACGATGGACTTAAAACCAACTACGCCAACGCATTTAGCGAGTGTGCAATCCTGAATAAATGTAACTCTTACATACTTGACTACGTATATTCGCGTTCAGTATTCCTAAGTCATCTCTTAATTTGTTTAAGTTTTCATTCGATCAAACGGTGGCGTATATCCATTGCGTATACTCATTCATAGCGATTTTTTTATATATTATTTTATATATTTTTTTATATATAAAATATTTCAAGATGCGCTAAAGTGAACGCTCTATCGAATTAATTACTATTGAGCACTATGTAAATTAATTCAAGTGTTTATCAAAGGATTTATCTATGAAAATAGTAATATAAAATTGATTGATTGATTAATATCACATTAAGGTATCTATTTCCTTACTGTTCATAATTCGATATGAATATAGTGAGGAAACAGAAATCTTAAATCATCTATCTTGGTAATTTTTTGTTTTTATAGAGGAGAAAGAAATGATTAATCATGGGTCACGTATAAGAGCAATGATAATATCTAAAACATTATTATGATATAGATGAAATCTCTCTTGCCTATTCTCGTGAACGAGGACGAATCATGTTTCATTTGAAATCTGCTCGCTTAGCGTAAGATGTAAAACATCGTTCAAACAATTTGCACATAGCACGCCACTGTGCCAAATATTAATTTCTTTTTACTTTATATTTTTGTCTTTTATGCTTATGTTGAAAGTATGTAAGAAAAAAATTGCAATATATAAGTTTATTATTAGAAAACTCATGGGCAAATTATGTTCCCCGTGATATATAATTAGGATACATAAATGAGCATCGAACTTACGAACATCTCGTTTGAGAGAAAATTAACTAGATCGAATTACTTCTATAACATTTGTACCTGACACACATCCATAGGAACGTTATTTACACAATTAAAAATTTCATATTATAAGCAATTGTTTTTTTATATCAATATATATAGCTGCGATTCAAAACGTTTTCAAGTTTAATTTTAACTTTTTTATATAGTGAAATGTTTCTCGTCATAAAATAATCATTTTAGAAAATGCGATATAAAAAATATTTCGATAATATATAATTTATACTTTCAAATCCTTTAAATATTTATTTGCTTACACGATTAAATTTTTGCAAAAATTATCAATACTGATATACAAATCTAGATTTATATATAGATTATCATACATCTGATATAAAAGGCCAACTGTTATCATCGCATAATCAGTACCGACTTATAGTGGATGAAACAAACTGATTTTTCATATATAATTGCGGCCTTACATTTTGAATGATTACAATACTTATCATAACGTACGATTTGAACCATTGTTTACATATATATTCGAATTATAAGATAAATAGAATTAACATATGTTAGTCCTTTTGCTGCAAAGTATGTATATGTATGCACAGTGGGTGAGATTTTTAATTCTATTAATATGCTAAATATGCGATGAGAACTGGATCTAATACATTATTGCCCTTTTATCAAAAGATATAAATAAAAGACGTGATAATAATAGAATACATTTGAAATATCACATTTCTATCCATTAATGAATAATAATTGTTATTATAAAAAAGAGAATTTACTCAAACTATAGCAAAAGGATTGACTTTTTGTCCATCTAATTGTATGTCCAAAATCCTTTTGTATGTACAATGTGTATAAAGTGCATTTTAAAAATGTCGCTTTATATTAATCACAATTAATTTGAGATTCACCAATATTTGAAAAACTAGATATTGAGATCAATTCTTTCTTTTATACTTGTCTCACTTTATATACATTAAATATAATTCGCATGTAAGCACACATTTAATTTTCTAGTATTTAATCAATGATTATCATTATTATTGGTAAACTTTTATAGAATTAAAATATTCATCAGTAACTCAAGTATCGCAAGTACAGAAGATTATCATAAAAGCGTAAATAAATAGTATATATATATTAAATTGTAATTTTAGAAATTGATTTATTATTTAAGGAAATTTTTTATGTTGAATATATACTTTGTAGATACAATTTGTAAGTTAGTATCATATTGTATGTAATGGAATCTGAATTGGCTTAAAAATCATCAGATTGTTGATTACAATATGTATCATGATGTTTATAAATCAGGTGAGATACTTCTCAAAACATGTATATGTAGAAGCGTAAAACGCTCTCAAGAAGTAAACTTTCCTATTACGTTTATATCGCAATTAATAGAAACGGTAATATTAATAATATGGATCGACATATGCCATTTATTGTAAAGTGTGGTCTCTATTACCTATCATAGGACGACAATATATATATTTAGTTGTAGCAGAATCGTGTGATAAAATGTATTAATATGCCAATATAATTTAGCAATTTTATTAAGCGATTTAACTCATACATTTCTGCAAAGTTCATTATTCCTATAGCACTTATTAAAATATGTGCACATTCCTTGTTGCAAATATGTGCATAATAATTGCAATTGTATGGATACACTATGTCTGTGTCTAAGCGTTATATTAATTATAAATAAAATAATCACAATATTGTAAGTGTAACTCTATGTTTAATGTATTAATACTCAGTGTATCTATATGTAATATGATTTTATGTAAGTCATATACAATTTTTTTTATTAATAAAATATGTACGCGATTATACATGGTATTGATTTAATGATATAAACAAATTCTCTATTTTTTTATACTTTCTTTTACTTTATCAGAATTTTAAAATTAAAAGGAAAAGATAATTATATCACACAAATGAAAAGAACAGCTTTCAAGTAATGATCCATTATGTATATTTAACGCGCGTAATGTCGTGAATAAATATCAAGTCTTTTAAGAAATTTATAATTTTACGGGCAATTTTATTGAAATTTTGAAAACAGTTTTTATATTTAAATTTATATTTTTTACATGTTAGTTATATTATATTATCATTTATATTGCATATATATAGTAATTATTTATTTTTCCACTGTTAATTTATACAAAATAATAAAATATAAATATTCATAAATTATTAAAATATTATTAATTGATTTAGATAATTACAATTATTCAACGCTATAAATACCCAGATAGCCACAATAATTATTATGACATCATTTTGATGTCAAAATGCATCATTTGCCATCAAAATGATGCATTTTGATGTCATAATAATTACTGTGGCTATCTGGGTAGAATTATCAAGGAAATTAATGATAAGATTTATTTAGATAATTTTAATTTTTCGTAGACTAAATGTCATCGCTCCAATTTCAAATCATAATGCATATTCTTCTTTGCACTTATATGTATTTACTGCTTTATCACTATTTTTTAACAAATACAGTTTTTGTATATTATATTCAAGTTTCCTAGAAATCTTTTTATAATTTAATGTTCGCTATAAATGTTGAAAGATAAAAATCGTTGATTTTTTTATTGTTCGATTATATTTTAGTAGTCGGTTGCAGGCGATACCACGCGTGGAATATCTTCTCACAGCAATGGAGTATCCAGAAAATTCTTTGGATGGGTAAATCACACATCATAGTAGAACTAATAATATCTCTTTTTTATTTTTTATACTTCTCTTTATTCATATAATAAGATAACATTTACAATATAAAAGAAAATATCATTATGCAACATTATGTATTAAAAATTATTAACAGTATAGTTGATAATATAATTATACATAGAAAATAAGCATGCCAAATTTTTAAACCTCCATGTCAGATTCAATCGGAGAATCATATTCGTAATCTATAGCTTCATTAATCCAAAATCTAGTAGAAAAATTAAATCTATCTTCATCTGAATTTCTTGATGTATTAGTGCCATCACATAAATTCTCGTTAACTATTTGCAAAAGCCGAGACGGTTGTGCTTCTTGTATAGATGTTCCTCCAATAATCATCTTTAACATTATATTATCAGTTCGATTGTTATAGACGCTTTTAGCAGTATCGAGAGTGACATTGGTGATTTTATGACATCCAGAAATATCCAGTAATTGTAAGCAAGGTGTGGTTTCGATAAACATTGACATGTACTGATCGGTAATTTTCATACATTTTCGACATTCCAACTCTTTAAAGTTATTAGAAATATTTTTCAATTCTTTACCAGTAATATTATATAAATAATTAATGATTAATTTTTCCAATTTTGATAATGTCATGATAGCTCTTAATCCATCATCAGTCACCTTGTCACAACCTGTTGGATAAATAACACATTATTAAAAAGTTGACAAAAAATATATTTTAATTTTTTAATTTAAAAATTTATAATTGTGCATTACCTGTAATGTCTATAGAGATAAGTTGTTGACAATGGTTCGCCAAATTATTAAGGAATTCGTCTATCACTAAATGACTGCGTATAAATTTCAAAACTTTCAGATTGACAAGTTGAGTTAAATAAAATACATCCGATCTTTGTGCATCATAAAACATTCCTTCTCCAATCTCTAACTTTTCTAGACCTTTACAATATGTGCCGATAGTTTCTAATGTGGATACAGGTGTTTCAAAACAGTTATATAATGCAAGATGTTTCAAATTTTCTAATCTTTTTAATACCTGTACATGAAAATGTCAATGTGTTTTATATATGTACTTATTAATAAGTTTCAATAAAATAAAAAGTTTTGACTTACTTGGACAAAATTATCTTTAATATTTTCGCATCTCTCTAATTTAAGTGTATGTAACGTTTGTGCTGGCAAAAATAATAAAGATTTGCCTGCAATATAATTTTTACTTACGGAAAAATATTTTAAGTTTTTATTCACTTTGAAGAAGTTTATTAATTCATCATCACAATCACGTGTTGAAAGTCCTAAGCTAAACTTAGTTATATTTTTACAATTACTTGCTAATGTACCAATGTCTGATGCAGAAACCGTTAGTGCAGTAATATCGACATTTGTAAGCTTTGGACAAAGTTTTCCAACAATGGTCAATGTATTTTCGTGACTTAAAAAAGAATTTATAAGAGATAAATTTATTTCTGTTAGAACTTTGTTGCATTTTTTTAATACTTTAATTAGTATAGCTTTACGAATTATATCAGTATTTGTACATCCCCATGTAGAAGGTGAAAAATCTAGTGTTTTCATATCCTTCCAAGAACATAGAATCTCTTTCCAGTATTTACAAACTGTAAAAATAATAATAACAGTGTATAAATAACGTATCAGTTTATCTTACAAAAACAAAAATAATAAATGCAACATGCTAGATGTATAAAGCATTAATATGATAAAATACTTGCCTCTTTCTATGCGAATTCTGTCAATAATTGGTAAGAATGAAAAAATATGTCTCAAACAATCTTCATTTAATCTAGAAATGGACACATTTTCAGTATCATTTTGCAAATATTGTTCATTAGTAGACTTTTCCTCAGAAGATTTGTTCGATATTCCTCCTATATTATATAATTTTTGGTCCATACTATCCGGTTGATGCCAGGAATTCACAGCCATCACTCTTAGCTCCCTATTGTGTATTTTTATTTGTTTCTTACTTCCTTCTTGTATAGCTCTACAATTTGTTACAAAAAATTATTGTATTTTAATTAAACATTAACATTATTTGCTAATAATCTCTTTTTTCAAATTTACTTCATTGCATCTTCTACTTTACTGAATGTAACAAATGCATAGTTTTCTTTCTCTTGATCATTATTTAAGTAGTAACTTTCAATATGCCCATATGCAGAGAAGCAGTTGTGTAAATCTTCCAAAGTTGTCTATAAACAAAGTTTAAACATTTGAACAGTACACCACTAAAATATATTGCAGAAGAATTAAAAAAAATAAAAATGACACAAACTCTTTCAGCTAAATTATTGACAAATAATTTTCGTACTGGTACTACATCTGTGGTTTCACACAAGACATCTAAACAAAGACCAAATATAAATTATAAATCTAATAGCAAATATATATTGAAACACACACACCCATATACATACATTAAAGATTAGTGTATATGAAAATAAAAATAGAAGTCTGTAAATAAACAGGATATATTCTTTAACTGTTTATTGTGTTTGACGACAGAATATTAAGCATTTGATCGTTTTAAATATTTTTAAGTTAATTCTGTTGTCTAATTGGAAATGACTTGCAATATATATAATATAACATTTAGTGCTCAGATTTGTTCATTTTGATGATAAAAGACAGATGCTGTATAAAAGCAGAATTATTGTATTTTGCTTTCATATCTATATTGATTAATGTATATACAGCAGGCTAGAGTATATTGAAGAAATTCGTCATGAGACAATAACCGAAGATTCAAAGATTATAAATATATGCAAACGTAGACATAAAATTTTAACTTACTATTTGATGAGATTTTACATATGTTATGAAGCGTTTCGGTATAATCGGCTTCTATATTGTTGATCATCCTTGATTTCCACCTCACGCGAATTTTAATATCTTCCTCTCTTTAGTGAAGCTCACAAAGTTCTGTAGAGAAAGCACTGACTAAATTCACTGAAAGCAATAATCATCTTAACGTTTAACCTTGCCATATGATGTAAATAAATATTAGAAGGCAGGCAGGATTTCGTATATTTAGCGGTACTGCGGTACTTGAAAAATAAAATTCAAGCTACACCGTTAGATGGCGACACTTAAAAATTCCAAGTCATGTCTTTTCTTTTAAAATCTAGATTAGTGGTGGTGAGCGGCCGGCAATTTATTTTGAGAGGTACGAATTGATATAACAATTATGATGAGTAATATTATATCGTACGTTGAAATAGAAATTTGAGATATGTTAATCTTTGTATTTTATTTGATAGTAGCAAAAATATAAATGCAGATAGATATAAATAGAAATGGCTTGTTTGTTAGGTTATATTATAGATATATTTATTTTGTGTTTATTATTAAATCTCTATTTTGTTACAGGTGAAATAAATAAACACCGGTTTGTTACAATGTCTCAGTTATTGGACAAAGTGTTAGATGTTGAGATCGATGGTTTTGGAAGATTTAAATATATCTTGATCAACGTGCAGGACGATGCTAGCAAAGCTAGTAAGCAAATTGTTAGAGGAAATGCAAGATCACAGTGGCATGGTAAGTTTGCATGATACATATTTATATCTCAATTATATTAATTTATGAAAATAAAATAATTTGACATCTTAATGAACTTAATAAACTTTAATAAACTTAATTGGCAATTAATGAAATAATATATATTTTAGGTTTGTTCTTTATTGCTGAACTTTCTCAACTAAACACCGTTCTTTATTGCAGTACAAATAGCACTGGCCTGTTCTTTATTGTAGTGTATCGAAATTTAGTGCAATAGTTTCCTGTACTCGCACTAAGTCTTGAGAAAGGATAGGCAGTGCAAGAATTCACACAAATTGAATAATAGTGGGAGATTTAATTTTATAAATAGTCATAGAAAGTAAAGACTATATAACTGAGCCTGACTATAACTTATTATAAATATTAAAGTAATCTATTAAAATATTAAAACTAATATAATAATAATAAATAATATTAAATCTTACAATAACTTACAATATTAATATGAAATATTAAAGTAACTTATTTAATATTATAATAATTAACAATGCTCTTAAAAGTAAATTATATACTGACATTGTATTCGTATAATCTGAATTTGGGAAAATCAAGTGATAGGGTTAACTTTTATTAAATTTGAAAATAGGTGCAAGTGATAGTAGTAGATTTATATCTTTATCTAAAAAACCTAATAATTTATTTAACATGTGATGTGCCATGTTGATCGCTGCACTAAATGGTAATAAAATGTTTTTTATACTTGCTTAGTGCCGTAAACTGTGATCAACAATAAAGATCAGTACAACAATAAAGAACAAATCTTTTGTTAATATTATTTTGATAATATACATAAAATTATTTAGTTGTGTAATCTAAAGATAGAAAGATTATGATTGCTTTACTTATGTATGCATGTTTTATATTTTATATATACATATATATATACATATGTATATTTAGAAATTTTACTGGAGATGATTGTAGGATTATCTCTCAGTTGAATTAATTGCCAATTAAATTAATTGGAATTTAAATTAAGGAAGCTTTAAATGACTTTCATCATACATCGATAACATTTTAATGAATTAAACTAAGATGCCTTAAAAATTTTTAGTTTTATATTAACACAAAAACATTACTTACCAAAATTGTATAAATTATAGGACATATCTTTGTTAATGATTTGCAAATGTATTTTCATATTTTTGAGAAAAAAATATATGTAATACATATTTTATTACAAATAATATGTATGAGAGTTTTATATTATACAATATTCATTATACATAATCAATATATTTATGAATTTATTATTTACAATTTTGATAATACAAATTGCACATTCTTATATATCTTTATCTATTTTTATTTTAAATGAAGAAGAAAGAGGAAACATTGTTTTTATAGATGTTAATATTATCTTATTTTGAAAATTATTATTGTGAATTGATGGGTTTTTATTAATTATAATTTATAATTTTTTATAAGACTATATACTCAGTCAAAATATGTTTTTAAAAGAAGAAAATATAATTGTATAAGACGTTTTATCATTACTGAATAAAATATTAATATATGATCAATTGTAATATTTAAAATTTATATAAAATTTAAAAATCTTTGTAGGATATATATAGATATTTATAATTTTTATAATTGTGTATCTATTAATTTGTGTCCAGAGTTACATAAGTTATGTACATATATAAATATAGTTTATTCAGAGAGTATAAATTCACAAAATAAAAAGAATTGGTATCTTTTATGGTTTAGTCTATATAAATAATTATATACAAAAAAATTAAATTATTTTGACAGTATAGTACAAAGAAAAAATTCACATAAATTCTTTTTTGACATTACAATTGGTGAAATAATATAATATAACTGCAGGGGTGTATAAAAGCAGGAGCTTAAGAAATTAAATTCACAATTATTAAAGAACATGCTATTAAAGATTTAAATAGTCTATATATTGATTATTATAATATAAAATATATATTTACTTATTTTTGGAAAGAATATAGTATAATATAATTGATCATTTTAATTTAATATTATTTAATATAGATATTTTTATAGATATAATTGTATATTTATAATTTTTTACATGATATTTCCGGATTAAATGGCCAAACTTAAAATATGAATTTAGGATCGTAAAACAGAAAAAATTTCTTTGGAAGTATACTCGCAAACGTTTCTAGAGACATTAACTTCTGAAGTTATAGAATTATAGGAATGAATAATTAAAATATCTTTTTTTTGTTTTGAAAATTAAAGAGCATTGACAAACTTATGTATAAACACAACAGGCTTGGCACTGTAAACAAAATTTCGTCTTTTTGTAAATAATTATTAGTGCATTGAATGCTTTTATAGAATAAACTAACACAATTATGTCTACTTATTTGATGATTGAAATTGTATGTACATAGTCTGTCACAGAAAAGTAATGAGATTAAATATGTAACGCATAATGTGCAACGGTGAAATATTGTAATTATGTGGAATATAAAATAATCTTGCTTTTAAAAGCAGTATAACTTTCGATTCGTTCGATTGCGTTTATGTGTATTATAATTTTTTAAAGTATATATTAATAAACCTCGTCACCATTTTGTTATGAGGCGGGTTTATTCTCAATTCGTTTTGCGATTTTTTAGAAACATTTGTTTGAAAAATCTGAGCATGTGATAGAAATAATCATCAAATTTTTTTTAACTTTTATCGCATATATAAAATTTATATTTAAAGTTTGGCCATTTAATTCAGGAACATCCTATATATACATAAAAGTAAACACGTTTTGCTTATTCTTTTACGTTTTTAAAATTAATGTAGAATCTGAAAAATTAAAATGATAATAGAGTATCATATATATATTAGATGTAGGAAGATATAGACACAAAAAATTTAAAACAATTTACATCTATGAGGTTGTACGTTTTTTATAATAATTTTAGTATAGATTATAAGAATATATTACATATATATTACATTAATATTAATTTTAATAGTGTATGTAAATATATAGGAATATATCTTTTGGGAGATTTTTCCTTTTTGCAGTAAAAATTTTAAAATAACATTATCATTAATAGATATTTTCAATTTTTATCTTTTTTCTTGTTGTAAGCATGACGTCTATATGATACTTTCTAATAGTTTACAACTTCAAACATTTAATTACAGCAATGACATTTAATTATTTAAATGTTCCTCTTTTATCGAGAGCGATCAAATCTTATCATAAGCTGCACGATAATTCGAAATCAGTACATGGTGCAATTTTTGATATTCAGTAGTTTATAAACTGTAGGTGCTTTTCAGCAATGCATACAGATGATGCATACAAATAAAGCGTAATACAGTGTACGATGATTTTCAACTACGGACATAAATCGACACAGCTAAAATCCTGTGTTCGACTGCGTAGTCGTTTTGTGTCACTCCATGAATACCGACATTTTTATATTTGATTACTTTTTTCGGAGCGATAGGCAGTAAACTTTTAAAAAATAAAAAAAACTTAAAAATTAAAAAAATTCTTTAAAAACTAATTTTGAAAACTAACTTTGAAACTAACTTTGAAAAAGATCTATAAAGTAACTGTCTTGCACTTTTGCGGTAAAAAAAACTAACTAAGCAACGTTCCAGCTACAAGTGACACTGTGTCACATATATGTATGAGTGTGTTTAATTGCTGGAAAGCATCCTACGATTATTTAATTATAATCGCATTTCTGTCAAATTATTTTTTCATGAAAAGTGCAATAAGTTGTTTATTATTTTCTAAGATTAATCTAACAAACTCCTGAACTCTATACTTTTTATTTTCTCTAAAACATGAAATTCACATTTATTTTTGTAGCCGTAAAAATAGTGAGAATTTATAAGATTTGGTATGGATTATTCATTTTTCCATCAGTGCAATTCCTATCTGTACAAGATACTTTAAAAAAGGACACTTTTCACACCCTAAAAATTGGGCTTTTTTTTAACTGCTAAAACTCGACGAAAAATTATTGTAGAGAAAAAATTTAAAAAAGTATTTTAGAAGTTTTAACTTCAATGCGTTATGTGAACTTTTGCATTCTTTTTCTTTCTTGTTCTGTGCTTTAAAAAAGACATTGTTTTCGTGAACAAAAAAGACATTGTTTTGTTCCTTAAAATTACATATTTTTTATATTCTGTAACTCACACATACAGATTAGTTTTAAAATCGTGTAACTCAGTAAAAAATGTAAAAAAAGCGTTTTGTGTCAAATATTGTAGTTTATGAAACGTAAATTAAATTTTTCGAGAAAAAATTTTTATCGAATATATGTAATTTTAAGGGCTAAATCAATATGTTCTTTTTTGAAAACACAGAGTAAGAAAGATATAAAAAATTTTTAAACTATTGATAGCACATTAAAATTCAAACTTTAAGCTTCAAATTACTATTTTAATTTTTTATCTATGATAATTTTTCGTCGAGTTTCAGTGATTTAAAAAATAGTTTAAGTTTTAGGGTATAAAAAGTATTTCCTATTTTTTTAGTAGTATATATTTTTCCCGATAAAAAAAATAAAACGAATTATAATGACAGTGTAAATTAGATGTCATCAGTCATTACTGTTTGATACTCTGAGATTTGAATATTTAATAATATTCGTTCGTTTTACTAAGAGGCTCTTCTGAAGCAGCACCAAGCTCTCTGAATGGTAACGCTGAGTCTGCATGTCTTATGATTCGAATTTTTCATGGTCTTTGTATCGCTGCTTTTCCTAAAAGACGGCCGTGACGTTGCATCGTCTCGTTGCGCCCGCTCTCAGATACTGTCACTTTCCTCACAGTGTTCTATTAGGTCCACATCAGTCACTCTCGACTCCTTTTGCTCTTTAATAGCCTCCAGCTTATTTTCCTTATTCCTGTGGTTATTACTATCCTGTTTGCTTGGTCTCTCTGTAATCTCATTTATGTTTCTTCCTAATTGCTTTGGCGATTCTCGAATGGGAGACGGGAATCCTACGAGATCCGGATCTGTGTTACTGTGCATGAGCGCGAACGGTAACTTCAAAGAAACTTCACCACCCATTGCCGAAATCAGCAATTTGACCTTAAAAGAAAAATCAAATTAGGATCGTTATGGATCTTTATGGATTTTATGAATTAATTTTTTTGAATTAAATGAATTAAGAGACATAATTGATTTTTTTAAAATAAAATAAAGAACTCATATGATTTTAATGTGAAAGCTACAATTTAATTTCCCAGAATAAGAATAATATGCGGTAATAATGCATAAATTTGGTAAAATTTTTTTTTATATTTGAGGTTTTTGCGTACACAAATATTAGAATTGATTTTCGGATAACCGACGTAGACTTTTGGTTTGATTTCAACGTTTCAGCTCACTTTATCAGAAAGGAACAGCTTGATACTGAACTGTTCCTTGTCGAGTTTTCCTTTATATGCGAACGGATCGGAAGAAGGGGGTGTGTGGGGAAAAGAACATTAGTATGAGGAAGAGAACATTAGTTTATTAAAATAAATCTCAATGAGAGATCACTTCAATCACTTAATATTGCACCAAGAAAGTTTTATGTCTTGCGCGCAATCAATTTTAAGAGAAATTAATTTTCTATGAAACTCTTACGCATTATTATTGTATTTGGATTTTATTGACTCAGGGAATTTAAATTGATTTTTCTTTTATTACATATGTATCTTCTATGCAAATTCAATGTCTGAGCTTCATTCTTAAAATAAATATACTTAATGATACTTATTACATTTCCTATTTTTTTATAATTAAAAAATTACCTTTACATAATAAGATACGTAAATCGCAAAGACATTTCTGTCATCAGTTCCGTTCCCGGGACAAATGATCGTTGATGCCAAAGTTGCTCCAGTTTTAGTGTAGCTGTCCTCTAAGGCGATCCAATTTTTGGTTGAACCTTTAATAGGTCTGAGAGCGTAGCTTTTTTTCAAAGTATTGCCTGGACCCACAGGGCAGTCTTCTTGTGAAGACACAAGGGCCACAACATTTTTGAATTTGCCGTTGCTGAACATACAAACATCTACATGTTGTACGACAAATACCTAAAAGAAAATATTTTGTTATATAATATAGATAATGGAATAATTTTTAAATTAATTTCTGAAAAGAATCGATTGATAAAACGAAAACACATAATTGTTTCTAAGAAAAAGTACGTAATTTCTAACAGTTTTATATATATATATATATATATATATATATATATATATATATCTTTCATTACTTTATGCATAAAAGTATTGAAATAAGATCGTCGAAAAATAAATATTTTACGAGATATATCATATAGCGAATTTTCGGTTGGATGCACTAGTGCGCATTGGTGCACATTAAAGGTTTTTGTGCATAAATTTATAATATATAGGAATAAGTAATGAAAACAGCAAGATTTTTATAATAGTACGAGTTATTATCGTTATTTGTATTGTACAATAATAATATTTACCTCTTAGTATTAATTATTTTACATTTTTAATTATTAATGTTACTGCAAATTTATGTGCAATAACCTTTAACGTGCACCAGTGCGCACTAATGCATCCAACTGAATTTGCTGATAGGATATATTGTATTATAAAAATAAAATAAACACAAATCAGCATTGTAGATCGTAGAAAAACAACAACAAATATCAATAACATGGCCTTTTTTAGGGCATGTTTCAATATAAAGTTTATGTTATGTATATTATAAATTTTCCGTATATTGGAACTCTCTGACCTTATATTTAAGGTCGTCTTAAGTGTGATCGTCTTAAGATCCCATTCAACCAATGATCGAATAGCATCTCAAGACCGTACTTAGAACGATCTTAAATATAAGATTGGACTATGAATACCAGCCTTAGAAAGGGAAATATCTTGTGAACAGCCAATTTCATACATGGAGTTAATTTCTCCTCTTTTATAATGTACAAGGTGCTCGGATATTCAGCCAAATAATGTTTAGAGATTGTCGGAGCACCCCAAGGACTATTTTTTTGCAAATATACCTAGCGGAAACGCTTTTATTACATCGTTATGAAACATCAGCAGCAAGCTTTGAGCAAAGCAACTTTCTATGCACGTGATGTCACGTGACATCGTCCATTAACTTATCCAATTTGTTTTCCTTTCTGTTGATGTTTACATTTTTTTCTGACCTAGTTCTTTCTGACCAGAAAACAACAGAAAAGAAACTAAGAAGAGTAGGTAAGTAAAAGGAATACGCCATATATCACTGATTCAAGCTCTTAACTGTAATCACAATACGTATAGACTGAAATCATTATCGAAGGAATAAATTATTTTATTCCTGATTTTTTGAGCACCTGTTCTGAGACATTCTCTTACAGGACATCATAAGTCGTAGCGATATAACGACGAGTTTCCGATTCCACAGGGTGTCACTTAATTCGCGTTTACTAAATATGTAGCGTTATTCCTTGTTAAAAAATAAGTCGAGACGTCCTGAACGATTTTTTTACAACACATAATAAAGGAGTAATTATGGATAAAAAACATGTTGATCCTCCCGCTTTTTTTTTAAATGAAATCACTATAAGTTTATCATATATAATCGATTCCTTGCGATATTTAGAATAAAAAGTTATAAGAATAGGATGGCCAAAAAGTGAATAATTTACGAGATATTATGTAATTTAGTGACATTTTACATAAACTATAAAGTATCTTATAAAATATTCATTTTTTGATAATCTTATTTCAATACTTTTATGCACAAAATAATGCGAGAAATTGAGTGGTGTAAAGAAAACACAATTTTCTTTTAAGAAAAAATATGTAGCTGTCAGTTGCAAATATATAAATTACATAACGTGGTACTATCACATTAATGGACAGAAAATTCTCAAAGAAGAAATTATCTCAAATTATCTAATTTCAATAGTAACAACTGAATTGAAGTGGATTGAATTCTTTATAGATAGTTTGTGTCTCAATTATATGTAAGAAAATTTGCAATATACATACATACGTATACATATATGTATATGGAATACTGTATAATTATAGGTTTGTTTCGAAAATACCGGATGACGTGAAACTTTTGTTTTGTGTAGATAATTAATAATAAACTTACATGGAATTATACAATTTGTTCTCGTTTCTATTAGTTTTTATTTTTTATGGATTAAAAAAATATCCAAACAGTCAAATTTTTATAATTCTTTAATTAATAATTTAGAACAGTTAAAATCTTTCAAAGCTTAAAATTTTCACTCTGATATATCAAATTTATTGGGAGAGATTTTTTTTAGTATAAAGAGGGTATATTATTAAATTATGTCATATTTTAAGCTTTATATGTGAGCGATTTTTTCACACAAAATTATCATAAATTCTAATCTAGGAATCTTAATCTCTATATCGTACGCAAAAATCAACATCATTAAAGAGATATTTTGTAAATAATTAAATTTAATATTTATATTATTACAGGATTTATTATAGGTGTTTCCTAAAAAAATGTATAAATATATGTTTGATATGATCTTGAAAATAATAAAACATGCTTTAATTTGGAATTTTATTTTACCTTGTTTTATTTTACCTTATTTTACCTATACTCTAATCTTTATATTACTCTATTTTGCTATATTTTATTTTCCGAAGATAATTATTTGTGTTATAACAATAGCTATTTAATAGTAAAAAAAATACGGAAAGTGAAGAACGGCAATAAAAAATTAACAATCTATTCGACTTTAGTGCATTTGATTCGATGAATTAAACTTATTGCGTAAATGTAAATAAATAAATAGCAGTTTAACAATAATATATTTAATGTTATTGGAATAGTACTTTTTCCATGATATAAACATATTTTCTGTAAATATTTATAGTACTTTTTTAAGGAAAGCTAAATAATTAATCTCTATTGTTATTATAAATAAGACATAAGTTATAATATGTATAAGAGATGGTTAAATTAATTTATTACTTATTAAAAATTAGAAAGATTATTTTTTAAATTATCTATTCAAAAAGTCAAAGATCTCCCTATTCATTAAATTTAAACACGTGTCATATAAGCAACAACATTCTTATTAAGATGCTAAGGCAGTCTCTCTCATTGAGATCAAGTATACCTATGGGATATGAACATTCTAACAAGCTTATTAAATTTACGGAAGTTTAACAAGACGATAATTAATACATGAAAATTGGTAGAATGACACGAATAAACATTTCTCGCATAATTAATAGATAGGGTATTTGACGAAAGTATCGTAATAAAAGTAAACAGTGTCTATTTTATTAGTTTTTAAATAATATAATTACTTAAAAAAAATCACGTTTTAGTATAAATTAATTTATATTTGAGTAATATTGCAGGTGGTGAAGAATTCAGATTAAAATGGCGTACCTATATAACATATATTATAATTTTAATAAAATTAAAGAATAACAAAACAAAGCTATATATATTAAGCAATTTATATGAGTAGTTTCGAATTCAAAACATTTTTCCTGTGGTATTTTTTAATGTATTTTAAAATGAAATTTGCAGAGTGAAACATTTATGTACAAATTAATTAAAGGAAGTTTGATTTGTTCGAGATGCTTTGGCAGATTAAATGTGTTTTGACAGTTAGCTTTTATATATGATTTTTCGAATAAAAATTTTAATTTGGAAATTGAAAAGAACAGCTAAGACTGTTTTATAATTCTTTCGAAATTTTCCTCACAATTAGTCATCAAACAATCGCATAGAAAATTCAATTGAATGATCCCTTTATAAGCGATTAAGTTAATTTTCTCTTTACGGTTTCGTCACGAAATGTCATCAATTTTATGCACAATTTTATTGCAATTTTTGCAAAAAAATTCATTATTATCATTGTTATGGTCAATTTTCTAGCATTACTTTTACTCACAGTATTTTTGTTATAAGTTCAATACAAGATTGTCTTCTTAGTAGCACTTACAGCTAATTTTAACAGTTATAAATGACAAATACGATATGTGTGAAAGAAGAAGAGAACAGAACATTTTTAAAATACTTATAAAGTGAATTTAAATATGGAAAATATAATAAAAATATAGAAAATAAAATATAACGAAAATTAGCATTAAACGTTTGTCATTTTAAAATTGCACTATTTTCGAAAATGGAAGCATTGCATTTTTATAATATAATGAAATATAAATATGGAAAAAAAGAAATTCTTAATTTTTATTTTTTTTATCTTTTTTTATACAATTTGCAGTTCTTAAAGAAACAAAATAGAAATGTCTATTTTATCACAATAATCAAAATAAATAATGTTTAATTTTATTTATATATACTACTAATTCTTGTTACTTATTGTTAGAATAAGAGCTCTATTTTAAAACATTAATATGGTTACATAAAATATGAATTGTTTACCTTTATTCTTCTTACGGATTTGCTGCTATTGTTGTTGACATTGATGTGGACAGTGATTGAGTCTCCATGAGCGTAAATCGCACGATCTAGCCTTGCTTCCAATCCGATACGACCGTCACTTAATAAAAATGGCTTTTCCACTGCTGCATGTGGTCCTACGTTTTCTGCAAAAATAGAAGCGAAATTGTGGTTCATTCATTTTGATTTGTATTTCGCATTTGTGATAGATGCGAATAGATAAATTTATCAATAAAATTTTAGCAGATTTTTCCGCAAAACTTGAGACATATATTGAGACATATATATATATATTATTTGAAAAAGTTCAAGTTTATATAAAAATCAAGTTTCATTTTGTGAAGTTCCGGATATAATTACAACACGTTACGCAATTACAATGTTACATTATTTTAAAGACTCGTGACATATTTTAAGACAAATAAGAGACAAATAGATATACTATATAGAAAATAAAAAATGTGTAAACTTGGATATCCAAGTAATCTACGGTATTAAATGCTGATCGCGAACCAACCATCGTCGTCGATAATTTCATTTTCTGCGGATTCCCCTCTTGTTTTGCATCCCTGAATTCTCAAGCCAATTGATGGCACTTGAGAGGGAAGTACGCTGTACATAGTTGTTGAGGGTAAAGGTGGCTTTGCGGTACGCTGGATCACCCGAATGCCCATTCTGACCGTGGTTTTACGGTGCAATCTCTCATCTGCTCGCTCCGCTAAAATCCGACACATAAAATATTAATGATGCGTGGGATGTAATAAAGGTGAAAGCTGTGTGGTGCTAAATACGAGTCAAGCCACAAATTCTTCCTTAGAAATAATTGAGCGTATCTTGGAATTATTTGCTCTCGAATCTATGTTACAAATCTCAAAGTATGATCCTTTTAATAGTCATTTTCTTTTATTGTTATGTGCTATCGGTTTTTTTATTGTATCTGCATATTTCGTAATATATTTGTATGCACTTATTTAGAATAGTTTTTCTGATTTAAAACGTAAATTAAACGTATATGAAATGATGAAAAATTAATCGAAGCAATCTAACAATAAGATGGAAGATAAAAAAAGAAATTTATGCGTGCGGAAACCAATAAGTCGAATGATGAGCGATATTATAATCGCGGATCGCGGCAATAAAGATTATATAAGCGTCGCATATCTAGTTAAAAAAAGGCGTTAAATGATTTTTATACGACCGACATTGCGGTGAAATGTCCTCAAAATTATGTATTTATATATTCTAATGTCATGCAAAGCGAGACGAAAAAATGCTGTAAAGTCATTATGATAAATACGATTGAATTATCGGCTTTAATCAATATCGGAAATGATATTAATTTAATGTATACAGGTTCTTATGTTAAAATGATGGCATCGGCATTAGTTGCAAAAATAAAATTTCGCGGTGTTAGCTCAAGTGAAAATGTGTAATAACGTAAAATATACTTTAACGTTTGTATCGATGGTTGTTTTTTCGGTATAACATTTCATATAGTCCCTAAAGCGGTATTACAACACGCGATGCTAATCAGAACATATTTTTTTAAACAACCTTGAAGTGAAAGAAAGTGTCGTTAATATTTCAAAAATTGCTGAGCTATTCTATGAATTATGATATGCAATAATGAATGAAATAGACTTGATTTCAACGACGATATAAACATAGAACACATGAGAGATCGAGAATATAAAGAAATGAGATAAGAGAAATAATATCGAGTTATAAACCCGAGAAGATTCGAGACAAATATTGTTTTGAAGGATAAACTATTAGAGACTGCTATTAGAGAAATTAAAATATTTAATACTACAGTCTATACTCTTGAGAACGTATTTTTCCGCATTATAATATTTTTAATTTCTGATAAAGGAGCGGCGTTTATTGTGCATTTTAACGTTTATTGTAAAGACGAGAACACATAGAACACATGAGAGATCGAGAATATAAAGAAACGAGATAAGAGAAATAATATCGAGTTATACCCGAGAAGATTCGAGACAAATATTGTTTTGAAGGATAAACTATTAGAGAAATTAAAATATTTAATACTATAGTCTATACTCTTGAGAACGTATTTTTCCGCATTATAATATTTTTAATTTCTGATAAAGGAGCGGCGTTTATTATGCATTTTAACGCTTATTGTAAAGACGAGAGCATTGAATACAACTATTATTATTGAAGTTTTACGAGTGAACGGAGAAGTTGAGCGAATTAACGTATTTTCACATTTAATTTCTCTTCTTTGATCAAAGTCGAAAGCAGAACAAAAATAAAACTTAAGAAAAATAGCAGCTTTTCCTCACCGACATAAGCTTTGACATCATAGCTGGTACCAATAGGTGCACCATTGTATTCTTTAGCTGGTACCAGTTGCACAGATGGTGGGGCTAATGGTGTGATTTCCATTGTGAATGCGTGAGCATTGGGTCCTAATCTTTTGACAAGTGCTTCCTGTAAAAAAATACAACGTTCAATGTATAAGATATTTCATTTTAAATTCCTATATCAAATATTTTAAAAAGTTATATTTTAAAGTGAATATCGTAAAAAACTTTTTTTTTTTTAGAAAATTTTTGAACAAAAATTTCTCGGTTTCAAGCAAGAATTATGATGTTAATTTTGCGTCACATTTTTCCAAGATTATTGATGTCAAAATTATTTTGATCTTTTTTTTTAAATATAAATTTTCATTTTTTATTGCGCATTCTTGTAAGTGAAATGTTATCAAAACATTATAATAAAGTTTCTTTGTTCAGTATTTTCCGAGATAATAAAGCTTGAAAGTTATTTGCTTAATTTTTGGCATTGGAAAAATTGTGTGCTTGGATTTTAAATCATTTAAGAGGAACAGAAAAGTTTATTAAAATAAAATCTCGAATTGAGATTTATTTAATTTCTTGATATTGTACCAAGAAAACATTAATACTCTATGCGCATGTATCGGTTTCAACGAAAAATTAATTATTTCTTAAAATTGACGCACTGACATTCTTGCCCATTAAATGCAAAATATAATTTTCACATTAAGAGTCTTTTTAGTAGTTTTCAAAAATAACGAAAAATAACGAGTTATTTTTCAAAAAAAGAAATGGTAATTGTAACGATTTATTTTTATAAAATAATTCTTTCTCTCTCTTTCTTTCTTTCTTTCCTTTTCCTTCCATCTTCCCTTTGATGTTTAATTATCATGAATTCCTTGCTTCTCACGTTCGGAGTGCTTGATTATGCGAATTCTTTTGCCTTTCACATTCGAGATCCTTTATTATCTCAAATTTCCTTACGTTTCATAATTATAATGTTTAATTTAAAAATATAGTTCTTCTCTATCCGTAACCTCTTGTCAGAGAGTGATGATTTTTCTACATGTGTCTGCAGCGTTCTTTTTATAGTTTTTCCGCATACATACATCTATAATTTTTATCTAAGTATTTGCGAGCGACTAGATTAGAGAGGTTCTCTCGGCAAGATACTCTCAGTGGTTTACTGTGTTGTCTGTCGATTGACGATCGAATAGATCTAAAGCATGTTTCTAGCTCGAGATTTGAACCCGAGATTCTTGGATATGGAGAGCGGTCGTACAACTTTCTGTGATCTACGATCTCATACTTCTCTATAGTGCAATAACTAAACTGTTTGAAACAGATACGTGGATTTGGAGATAAACTATAGTTAATTGCAACTAAAAGAGAAGTCCAGAATCAATTTAATCGATATTATTGCGACTTAATCAAACCTTTAGACACAATTAACTTTATCAAAATTACGATTTTATTTGAATGGTCTTCAAAATAAGATTTAAAATATATAATTTTGTAAAGCTTTTCGACTTTCTAAGCAAAGCAAAATATACTCTACACTATTATGTGAATAAAAAAATATTAAAAAATTATATTTATATAAACAGAGACATTACTGAAAAACAGCAGAATTTAATGTTAGTTGTCGCAACAGGTTGTTCAACAGGTCGTTCAACGACCTGTAAAATTTTAGAGGTCCTAGATGTGAATCATCGGTAAAAATTAATCACTTTTAGAAATTTCTGGAACTGTTTTATGTTAGTTATAGATTTGGAAAATTTTAGTTTCGACGCGCTAATGATTTAATCCCGTTCACTGTATAACTGAGAAATGTAATTTCGCTAATGCCGAAAATACATTTCGCAGCAGTGATTATAAACCATTTTTATTTAACTATTTAAACAAAGTTTTTATCGTAATGCTGCGTTTCGTTCTCGGACGCTATTAAAAGAATCATCGATAAAAGCATAAAGAAAAATAATTCTATCAACAAATTTGTCACGTTTGAATGACATTATGTTATCTGAACATTATGTTTAAAAGCTTTAAAAAGACCAAACGGAGTCGCGTTCACAGTTTTTTTTTTACATTTGTGGATAGCTTCTCGTTTTCTGCACTCCAACTGCATAAAGAGTGGCACTTTGTTGCATTCTTTTTGAAACGCTGATGATATCCACATATTTTCGTTATTATTATTTTCGTGCTGTGAGTTTGGTTGCGTCCACACAGGTACGAGAAATAACGCCGTCGATTATTCACGATTGATTTTCAAGCTTAAGTTCTGAGTGCACTAATCTGGTTATTTCTCCCACTGTCACGATTCGTCCTTGATCGGCTCGAACCTCATAAATCCAATGAATTATTTCAATAATGGCTGTGACGTTTGTATCTCTGGTGGAAACTCACTGTGTTTTAAGTGGTAAATGATTCTTCCACAGTGTTAAAATTATCGGGAATTGACAGAAGCTTTTTTAGATCTCTGAAAAACTGTGAAGTTTTTCAGAGAAACGTTTAGTCACCAATTTCCTCGCTTTCCATCAATTTCCGCACTCACAAATGATCGAACCCATGAACCTTTTTATTATTTCCTTTTTTAAATATATTTATATTATCCGATTAAATTGCTGCGAATAAAATTGCGATGAAGTATTACTTTACTAATTGAATTTCGATACGATACGATACGCACTTCTATGGTAAATCTCGATTAACATTTTTATAATGCGTTAGGTAGCATACGCATATGAGGAAAAATACATGATAATCACTTTGTCATAGTATTCTAATGATATATCACATTTGGCACTTTTAATCGATTCTGTTTTTCCTTTTTTGGATTAAAAAAAATTTTTTTTCTCGCAAATTTGGCATTATTTTGATTTTATATATATATGGCGATCACGCATCTTGTCCCTCTTCACGTCTTGTGACTTATTATTAACCTAATTAAAAAATATTTATATTCAACTTTCAAAGAGAAAAACCAGTATGAAAGATATATAATTAAAGAGTGTTAAGTATTACAATATTGTACATATATAGGTCGCTCTTTTGTTTTCATTACTATTAATAAAACGTCAAGTAACTTTACGATTTCTCCGACCTATAGTCGAGTTGGTTATGATATCCTATATTTGCTCAATATATTTTTCGCCGAGATTCACGTTGAATTTTGTTTCATTTTTCGTGATATGGGCAGACATAAACTGCGTTTTCAAAAGCTTAAATTACAACATAATTTTATGTGGCCACAATTATAAAATGCGTATAAATGTTGCTTCACTATACTAATATTTTTATTCTTGTAAATAGTGTCAGCTAACTTGTTGGCTATATTTCCAACCACAGGGAGTGTTATTCTTGCAACACCCACATACTTGTTTTTTCTAAAAAGAAATGTTTATTTTGCATACATACACGTTCACCTCTTTTTACTTGGATCACCATTTCGAGATAATAACGTGGAGCGTGCTTTAAATAATATAAACTCGAATGAACTTAACAATATTTATTATACTAATTAAAATATCCAAATAAATTATGAAAATTAGTTATTTGTGTACTAGTTAATGTGTCACGCAAAAAGTGCTCACGCGAAGAGCAATTGATTTTTTAGTTTTGTACGTGTCGAAAATTCGGACGAGAATCCGTATCGGTCACAATTCAGAAAGAAAAAACAAATAGGAAAAGCACAGAGTAAAATATTTTTATTTTTTATCACAATTTAGGAGAATCAACTACATGTATGCATTTTTATATGTAATGTGTATCATTGATAACATTTTAAGAAACATTATTTGAACATACCTACTTTATTCTAATAATTAAAAAAAATAAAATTATTCAAAATTTTTATCTATGTATATATTTACATTAAACATAATTAAAGAAATTTGACAGTAACCTAAAATTTTTGTACTGTGGAATATAAATTGTATATCTGTTACGTAAAATATAATTATTTTGTTGCATTAAAAAAAAAATATTCGCAAATAAATGAGATTAAAAGAAAGGTATATACAAATATTTTTAGTAAAGTGTACGTATTTTGAAATAATTTATGCGAAATATCATATGTATTATTATAAATGCTTTATTGCTCTTATTGATTTTTGATGAGTTAATATTTGTAGAAACTGTATTTTTATATTTGTAAACACCTACGTCATTTTATTCTAAATATTTTCTTTTCAAAATATCAAAACCAAATATTATTAATTAATACTTGCAATTAATAAGACAAATATATATATATATATATATAAAATGAAAAGTAAATAATAATATTAATGAAGCTAATCTATATAAACTTGTGAATGTAATAAAAAATATATTTTAACATTTATCAAATCTTAAGATAAAATATACATACAGTGTAAATTTAATTTTAGATTTCTGTGCACTAAACATTTTTTATCTGTATTTTGAATTTTTGCGAATAACATCGATACCTGAAATAATACATAAAGAGTAATATATCAAAAATATATAAAGAATATATAAAAAAATATATAAAGAATGTTTGAAAATTTTTTCTGTATATAATTTTGATAAATTTATATTCCCTTTCTAAAAAAGGTATGCAAAGTCGATTATCGTAAATATTACTGCTTTTCTGCCATACTATAATATTTTGTGAACAAATATGTACGCTTTAATTAAACTCGGGCGAGATTTTATACCCCATATATCCATCACGCTGCGCGGTTCGCGCGAAACTGATTTTCGTGCGAGGTATCGCAAGCGCGGGCCCGATGGTCACATGACCAGTGGTCATGTGACCAGTAGTCATGTGACTAGTGGTCACGTGACCATCGGTCCCGCGCTCGCGATACCCCGCACGAGAATCAGTTTCGTGCGAGCCGCGCACTATAATGGACGTGTGGGATGTACTAATTTGATCACGTCATTTGCGCGAGCCGTGCAACGTAACGGATGCATACAGACACGCGAATCTAATGGAAGCACAGATATTTTAATCGAAAGATTTTTGTAGAAAATTTTTTTTGTTTTCTGTTAAAAATTTAGATATTGAATTTTTAAAAAAAATTTTTATAAATTACGTAATTAATAAACATTTTATGCATGCATTGCAATAATAATTTTATACATGCGTCGTAATTTTAAAGATTTTATCAAAGAATAATAATTTCG